AAAAAAGTGCTTTTTCAGTAACCTGATGCACACATAGGAGAAAGCTTGGGAGAATTGAAAATTTATAAAAGGAAAGATGGAATCACGCGCAAGAGTTTTTCCAGACTTCCTGGTGTGCTTTTATCAGAATAAATATGTGTAAGCAAAAAGTGGCCACTTATATTAATCAAAGGCAACAAAATTCAATGATACATCTTCCCAAATTCACAACCAGTTAGTTCACGGTATTATGAGACGAAAACGTGATAATATCTAGAAGAATTTGAAGCTATAGAAATAAGTCCTACTTTTTTTCATTTATAATACTATATTTCATTGTCTTACATTTGATGCTAAGCCAGTCTGGTTATTGTGGGATGTCTGCGGCAGGAGAATGCGAGGTGTCTGGGAAGTACCAGGACCTTTTGGTGGCATTTCTGAAATCTCAGAGTCAGTCGGTGTGGTATGGGGCTCCGTCGGCGAAACTTCAGAGGCAGTCGATTGAGCGCCGGGCACCCGTGGTAAAACTACGGAGGCCGCCGACAAGGCATAGGATGCTGTCGATGAAATGTCGATGTCAGGCTGTACATGCGGGGTGTTACGTACCAGTGGTGAAACTTTGGAGAGGATTGCTTGCGTTTTAGAAGCACCAAGTGAAACTTCGGAAGTTGTTGCTTGGGTGACACCCCCAGTCATTTGGGTAGTGGGTGCTATGGGTGACATCTCGGAGATGGATGGTTGAGTAGCGGAGGTTGTCGGTGAAATCTTCGTGACGGTTGGTTGTGAAACTGCCGATTGCGAAGCGGAGGCTGTTGGCGAGATATTGGTTGTGTCCCAGTTGGTTGAAACTACGGAGATGGTTGGCTGGGAGGTGGAGTCTGTGCGTGAGATTTCGGTGATAGCAGAGTTGGTAGCAGAGGTCATCGAGGAAATTTCGGTGATGGTCGTTTGGGTTTTGAGGTATGTCGAAACCTTGGAGATAGCGAGGGTATGTGATGGACTGACAGACATGATGGCACTTGAAGCGTTTTGCTGAATGATTGAAGAGTGCGAAGGTGTTATCCTTGAAGTTGACAGCACTCTTAAGGATTTTTCCATTGAATGTATGGTTGAAGATCTTGTCACAGTCGCGTTGGTTACAGGGCCTATGAAGAGATGAGCATGCCAATGAAATAAATACTCCGGCACGGTTTGCGCTTCTTGAAAAGTTCAACCTAAATTTTTTAAGTTCGTCGCTTACAATCCCTGTTAATCATCTCCATCCTTGCTTAACCATCCTTGTTCCTTTATGGTTTATTATTATCTCTTTGGTGTCTTTCCATATCTTAGCAAACTACTATTTTCAGGTTTCGTTCAATTTAAAGGTAATTTTGTGTGTGGAAAAAATAACTCAGATTACCTTGATTGAGCTCCTTTAAATGTCAACAGCAACAATTTTCTTTGTTATCACGAAATCCAATGAAAAATCATTTTCTTCCCGTAAGGACTAATGAACGTGCCAAATTACGCTTAAGTATATATGTAGCAAATTTTACGCCTTTTAACACGGTGTGTACAAAATTCTTAAAAGTGGTTGTTCACCAAAAACAACAACCATGACAACAACCATGGGCACGTGGGTCCCCGGGGGGAGTATGATGAGATGCTGATCGGTGTTACTTACATATGGCATTTCCTACAAGCTTGAAAAGAAGGCAGCCTGAATCAAATTGGACCCGTTGTGTAGTCTGTATCACTCTGCAGTCCATAACCAAATTCATTATCTTCCCCCGGAATATATTTGTACCTGGTACATTTTTGTTTACCTGGGAGAAAAGCAAATTTATATGTAAGTTAACTTACAAACTTATACAAATCCTTCCATAGTTAGCTGTAGAGGAAAAAGTACAAAATTATTGAGTCCGCATTGTTTTCTTGGTTCTAAAATTGCGGCTCAATGTCCGTTTCTTGATTGCCCAAGTAGACTTGTCACAAATTGCAATGAGACTAAAATACAACTCGATTTAACGGTACAGTTAAAGGTACAGTTAAATATTTGTACCTGGTATATTGTTGTTTATCCAAGAGAAAAGCAAATTTCTATTGACTTATAAACTTATACAAAATAGCTAGCTTTACAGTCAGTCCATCATCTTTTGAAAATCTACAGAATTTTTCTTTGTTCGGAAAATAAGACTACTCGATAAGTGAACAGTTTTCGGTGGGTCATTTTCGGATATTATTAGCCATTTAGTTGCTCCATCAAAACTAGATAGACAATAGCCTACGTTTGGCGCGAAAATATGTTCAAATATTTGACCGCGGACATTGTCGGTTGTGAGAAGCGATCAGTTTTCCGAAAGCGTAGCTCGAGCAAATATTTTTCGCAACACACGCAGTTTTGAAAATTGGGGAGTATCCTTTGGATAGTCCCCAGTTTTACTTGGGGCATATGCATTCATGTGACGTGTTTAGACCAATCGTACGCAAGCGAAGATATTTGATGGATTATAAACAATTATTTGAGGAGGTTTTTGTGATATCCAGAATAGTCAAGGTCAAGGTAGGGGTTACCAGCCGAAGCCGAAGGCTGAGTCTGATAACCCTTACCGAGACCTTGATTATTCTGGATATCACAAAAACCGAATCCAATAATTGTTTTATTATACATTGAAGGAAAAGAAATGGAAGTCATGTTTTTGCTTCTTCACTGACGGCAAGCAACACAAAGCGCGCGAACTTGACATGATTACCCGTAGAAATCATGCACCGCGGTCATACATGACATGATTACCCGTGACCTTGAGTGTCCTTGACACGATTATTGTATAATCTGTAGCTAGATGACGTCATAGGCGCTGATTTCGAAAATTCACCGTACGCTTTCGGCCAATCAGAAAAGAGATGGTGAGTTCAATGTATAATAATCAAGCTTAACCCTCTCAAGTTATTTTTGACATCGTACTTAGTTCTTACGCGAATGTCATCACGCGCGTTGCATGGATGTTTTCGTCTTGGATTCCTTTCACAGGATTGGCTGTTT